AGATGTGAAAAATAAATTCATATTTATTTACAGATTATAACAATTCATGCATTGATAATGAAGAAGTGGCAATATGCTTTACGGTAGCTTAGAGTAATTGATACCATTGCTTCATGGCAGCCTAGTTTCTGAGGGCAAAACATTTTTATGGCATATAGTATTATAGTCTTATTCATAAGGTAGTATTGGAAACATTGTTACTTTTTTTTTAAAAACCACTTATCTGTGATGATAGGCTCATACACAGTTTCTCCAATTATGTGAAAGAGAAGCATACTGTACTGTAATGAAATTCTTTGAAAAGCAGTAAGAAAACTAACATTATTAATTTTATATTAAATACCACTCACCTTATGCCTATGTAAGGATAGGCTATCCACTTCCATATAAGTCTTGCACACAGTGTTCTACACAATGAATACTTAGCCGGTGATTATGATGACAAAAAATGTCCTATATAGTTCTTGCCATACAGTTACTAGATTTTCTCACAAAGAAGCTCACACACATGCACAACAAATAAACTTAGTAACTATGGCATGATGATTTTCACTCATTAATTGGAAGTGGAGCACCATCATTTTCGTCCTCTGTCATCTTCACAATGAGGAAGACGAACAGGAGGGGTTGGTCTTGCTGTCTCCGGGAACAGAGGCAGAAAAGGTGGAGGAGATGGAAGGGGAGGCAGGAGAGGCAGGCACACTCGGTGTAACTTTTATGGAACTATATTGTAATTACTGCCTGACTTTTTCTTTTCCATTTCTCTAAAAATGTTTTTATATGTTTCCAGTCCTTCCACCATTTGCTTTAGTATCAGTGCCTGTATCATAGAAGGGTCCATGTCGTAAAGTAAGTCAAAAGCAGTCTTGAGTAATCGGAACCCTTCGTCCAGGTTGCCTTACGTCAGTTCGTTTTCCGGCACTGCGTCTTTTACGTCTTCCAGCACTGGTTCAGAAGCAGTCATCCCCACCAAGTTGTCTTCTGTTAATTCCTTTGGTGTGGTGTCCATTAGCTCTTGAATTTCTCCAAGATCCATATCTTGAAACCCTTTACACACACACACCTACCACCTACCCCCCCCCACCGCCCCCCGTCCTCCCTTTTTTTTGCCATATCCACAATCCCTTTTATGATTTCCCTGTCTGGCTCTCCTGAAGGCATGCACAGCATCTGAACAATTTTTTCCAGCAGGAATTTATTGTTTTGGGCTTGATTAATTTCACAGCTTTTTCTATAACAGTGATGGCATCTTCAGTGGTGTAATCCTTCCAGACTTTCATGATGTTATTTCTGTCAGGGTTCTCTTCCGTAGCATGGACACCCTTTACCATTGAGTATGATGTGTAATGAGCTTTAAAGGTCCTTATGACCCCCTGATCTAGAGGCTGAATTAGAGATGATGTGTTTTGGGGAAGTAGTCCACTTTGGTGCCTTCGGTGTTGAACTCATGGGGTCCTGGGTGACCAGGGGAATTGTTCAAAATCAGAACAACTTTAAAAGACAGTCCCTTATTGGCAAGGTGTTTCCTGATGTCAGGGACAAACCATTGATGGAACCAGTCCAGAAAAAGGGTTCTCATCGTCCCGGCCATCTTGTTGTACAACCAAGACACTGGCAGCTGGTGTTATCTTTCCCTTCAAGGCTCAGGGGGTGAGCAGCCTTATAGATCAGGCCAGTCCCGATCATAAACCCGACTGCATTTGCACAGAACAGTAGAGTTATCCCACCCCTTCCTGCCTTAAATCCTAGTGTTCGCTTTTCTTCCTTAACTAATTAATGTCCCTGTGACATTTTTTCTTTCCAGAATAGGACACATTTGGCTGGCTGAGTGGCTCAGTTGGTTAAGAGCTCAATCGAGAGTTTGAGCTCTGAGCACCAGCGGTTCAATTCCTGGCCTGAGCTGAGCTGCCCCTGAGCTGCCAACAGGTGGCAGGTTGGCTCAGCTAAAACAAAAACAAAAACAAACAGAATAGGACACATTCATTTGCATTAAAAACCCGAGAAGCAGACATGTTTTCTCCTCAATGATTTTCTTCATGGTGCGTCTGAACTGGTCTGCTGCTTCTTAGCAGAAGCTGATTCTCCTGGTATTTTGACATTTTCTAAGCCAAATCTCTTTAGAGAATTATCAAACCATCCTTTATTGCCATTAAATTCTCCAGTTTCAGATCCTTCACCTTCCTCTTGCCTTGAGTTGTCACATGACTTTGCTTTTTCTCAAATCATATTAGAGTCTATAGGTAGGCCTTTCTTACAGCAGTCTTGCACCCACATTAAAGCTGCATTTTAAATACAAGATAAAAAGGTATTTTGCAAAAAGTACAAGGTTTTTATGCCTGCTGGTGATGTTGCAGCAATGGGTTCACAAATTTCCTTCTATTTTTTTTACATGGTCCTTATGCTGGATTCATTTATCTTGAAATGGTGGGCTATCACAGCTGCAGACCTCAATCTACAGTACATACCAAGCAATTCAAGTTTTTCTTCTAATGTCATGACTTCTCTCCTTGTTGGGAGTGCTTCCAGCACCACTAGTGGCACTTCGTATGGGTTTCATGGTGTTACTCAAGGTTTATGGTGTTACCGTAAACACAATGAAAAATACTTGAGAACCTTGAGAGATCACTTGTCACTGCAATACACAATTTACCGGAGCGACAAACTGCTTATGTGGAGATAATTAGCATCATACATGGCGTTTTAACCAGATTCTCACAACACATGCTCACTGCAATAGCCATAGGAGGTGACTTCGAAATTATCAGTTTTTCAGTATGTACTACAGTTAATTTTATGCAGTTTTGAATTAATATTACATATTTATGTTTTTTTACATTTCTCTCAACTGAATGGCACCAAGTATGGTCTGTGTTTTTGTGCTCAAATTTTGATAAATTTTAACTTTTTATAATTTGTATATATTTTATGGTAGCACATGATAAAATAAGCTAGTATCTACACATATTTTTTGCATATATGACACACCTAACTTTTTATTTTTTTCAATATTTTTAGGCTACGTGGTTCATCTGTGAATTTTTTCAAATTGTCACAGATCTCAAAAAATTTTTTCAATATATTCATTGAAAAAAAATCTGCATGTAAGTGGACCTGTATAGTTCAAACCTGTGTGTTCAAGGGTCAGTTGTAAATTTTTATTACTTTGAATTAGGCAGAGATTTTAAAATATAACACAAAAAACACAAGGAACAAAAGAAGAATAGCCAAATTGGACTTCATTAAAATTAAAAACTTGTGTTTGCAAGGACACCATCAAGAAAGTTAAAAAGACAACCCTTAAAATTGTAGAAAATATTTGTGAATCCTATCTGTTAAGAGGCTTATATCTATAAAACATAAAAAAATCCTTATAACTCAATAATATAAAGACAACCCAATTAAAAGTGGACAAAGGATCTGAATAGACTTTCTAAATAGCTATTTCTGTAAAGAAGGTATACAAATGGCCAATGAACATTTGAAAAGATGCTCAACATTTTTAGTCATTAGAGAAAGGCAAGTCACAACCACAATGAGATACCACTTCACACCCACCAGGATGACTTTAATAAAAAAGACAATAAAAAATATTGGCAAGGATGTAGAGAAATCAACACCCTCATTCATTGTTGATAGGAATGTAAAAGTGGTTCAGACCACTTTTGAAAATACTCCTGTAATTCCACAAATTGCTAAATGTGGAGTTACCACATAACCTAGTAATTCCACTCTTCCACTCCTAGATATACATGGCAGAGAAAAGAAAACATGTCCGCACAGAAACTGGAATTGAATGTTTTCGTAGCTTTATTCATAATAGTCATAAATGGGAAGCAATCCAAAATGTCCAACTGATGACTGGATAAACAACATTTATTTAGCAATAAAAAAGTACTGATACATTCTAGAACGTGGATGAACTTTGAAAACATTATGCTAAGGAAAGAAGCCTGTTACAAAATATTACATATTGTATGATTCTATTTATGTGAAATGTCCAGAATAGGCAAAATTATAGACAGAAAGTAGATTAGTAGTTGCCTGGGGCTGAGAGGGAAAGGGAGAATTTGGGTACAGGTTTTTGCTTTTTTTTTTTGAGGTGATAAAAATGTCTAAAAATGATTATGGTGATGGTGGTACAATTCTGTGAACATACTAAAACACAGTAAAATTTATACTTTAAATGGATGAATTCTATGATATGTACCTCATTAAAACTGTTACAATTTACCTCCCTCTCCAGGAAAATGTGTATGATCTGTCCTCTAGTTTAAATTTAAGACAGCCCCATTTACACAGTTTTCACTGATAAATAGCAATTTATCAATTTGAGTATTCCTATTTTTCTAATTATGTACTTGTAATTTATCTTAGTACTTCTGTCGGTTGTGTTTGCCTCTTATATGTTTGTGTGTACAGATTATGTCTAATGTCTGTTACCAACATTAACCATCTCAGTGCCATACTGATAGATAACCTCTGGAAACCCAAATGCTCATTGATTATTTAGTGAGTCCTATTTTTAAGGAACCTTTTAAGATGGTGCTTTTCCTTTTATTCAGTGTGATTCAAATGTACAATGGCTATAAGGTTATGCTTTGTATGGGTTAGAAAACATAATTTGCATGTTTTAGAAAAGGATGTGCATATATTTTTTAAAGTCTTGCTAGCATATACCTATGTGTGGAGTTTGTTGATTTAAATATCATTACCAAAACCCAAAATATTTATTGAGCATGTGCTCTATATAAGTAACTGTGTTGAACTCTAATAAGATACAGAAAATTATCACAAACACACCTGTCCTTAACCTTGCAGTCTAATAGAGGTGGGAAGTGATTTCAGAGACAAATGTCAAAAGTTCAGAATTAGCATATTAAGCACTAAAATGAATTCTGGGGCTGTATGGAAGATTGATATGACCAGGGTTTTTCAGAAAATGTTTATGAAGGAATGAGACTTTCAGGTAGACTTGTTAAAAAATTATTCTTGTTTTTTAGGGACAAAACTGAAAACATGAACAATGATACATATTACCAATGTTCAAAGCTGATTTGGCTAGAATTGGAATACAGTTGCCTACAACATATTCCAGAGGAATTAGAAAAGTCAAAGTAATGGATAACAGAAAAGAGCCTCCATTCTTCAATGAAGATAACGTGGGACTGCTGTACTACAAACTTCCTTTCTATGACACCATGGAGCTCTTCATTGAAACATTGACTGGAACATGTTTTGAGCTGAGAGTTTCACCCTTTGAAACTGTTATTTCTGTGAAAGCAAAAATTCAAAGATTGGAAGGTACTAGTCTTTCTTTATTTTTAGCCTATAAGGATTAAAGTTGTTCATCAAGAGTGTATAATAACTTTAACTTTTTCTACGGAGAAAATGTCAAACATACACGGAATTAGAAAGTATAGGATAATGAACCCCAATATTATCCCTTTACTCAGCTTCCACAGTTATCAATTCATGAGCTGTTGTTTTACCATTCCTGTATTCCCCCCAGCTCATTCCTCTTCCACCAGATTCTTTTGAAGCAAATACGTGGCATCATGTTAATGGTATGAAATAGTATTTTAAAATAATTTTTCAACAGGTTGTGATGACATGCAAATTCTGCCATAACTATCTTACAATTACTTTTAATGAGCAGTAGTAATTGAGTTCCCTTTAAGAATACTTTTTCCTTCTTTAATGTGGAGATTTTCTGAGAAGAGTTTTTGGCTTACATTTACATATATTGGAAGTTTCCTCAGTATAGCAGGGATATTGAATATTGTACATCATCTCTTTTGTGGTTTGTGTATTTGTGAAGTGTCACAAACTACTTTGTGTAAAATTAGTCTTTTTCTTTGTACTTAGCAGATTTCTGAAATAAGTGGTATTTCTCATTTACAGTTGTTAAAATCTAGTATTTACTAGAAAATTAAATTGTTCCATATAACACTAAATAGATCTTTGCTTTTCGAACAAGCTGGAACTTGCTTGTAAAGGTAGTAACTAGCATTGCTCTCCAGCCCAGGTTAAGTTCAGAATTGTAGAAGGATGAGGAGGGTTGGAATTTTTATCTTCGTAAATCAAGGATCCTGGCTGGTATCTGGCCTTCTGAGTATTTGCTGCTTCTCCAGTAACTAACCTATATTGAAGTTAGTGGCCAGCTGAGTCCAATGTCAACGTCAGTACATCCAGGAATGGCACATAAAGGTTTTGTCTTCCCAAATGACCTGGTGAGACATGGAGTCTGATAGTTTATTTTGGATTTGTGCTGCTTTTTTATTTATATGATGGGGTAGTGATATCTTTTTAGGAACAGGAAGATAAAACCCTTCTGTGTTCTAAATAATTCTTGTGTTATTTCCTCCTTTCATACATTTTGAATAATCTCTGTACAGCAAAATCACTTTAGAGATCACCCTGTTTAGGTTGCTTAATGTCAGAAGAGTAAACTTGGGCTTAGAGAAGATTAGGTACTTGTCCAAGGGAAGTATTTAGTTACTGATAGAGTTAAGACCAGAACCAAGATGGAGGCTTCTTGTTCTCTGTGGAACGAGGGTAAAGCAGTGGCTTTGTAGATATTACATAGTTGAATCCTAGGTTAGACAATTATAAAACAAATATAGTTATTGGGGGTGGGGGGGAGAGGGAGAGGAAGAGAGAAAGGAGAGGAGAGGAGAGGAGAGGAGAGGAGAGGAGAGGAGAGGAGAGGACACACATGAGTTTTCTGGTGTTTCTTTTTATAAGGGTACTGATCCCACCTTGAGGTCTCACCTTCATGACTTCATCTAATTATCTCCCAGAGCCCCCATCTCTAAATACTATCACATTAGGAGTTAGGATTTCAATATATAAATTTGTTGGGGGGACACAGTTCAGTCCATAACACCTACCAATATCAATAGCTTAATTCCTATGCCCATTCTTCATCCTTATAACCCTCACCCCTTCCTTTCCTCTCATTCTCCATACTTTCTTGTAACTTTTTTTAAAATTAGTTTTAAGTGTACAAAACAATATACTAGTTAGACATTTACACCCCTCACAAAGTGATAACCTCCCCTGCAGTCTACTACCCTTCTGACATCGTATATAGCTATTACAATGCCATTGACTCTATTCCCTATGCTGTACTCCACATCCTGTGACCATATATATATATTTATATATATATATATATATATATATATATAAAATTATAGTTGACATTCAGTATTATTCAGCTTCAGCTTCAGCTTCAGGTGTACACTGCAGTGGTCAGGCACCTACACCATCCATGAACTGGTCTCCCTAATAACACAAGTGCCCTTCTGAGACCCTATAAAATCTTTACAACATTATTGATTATATTCCCCAAACTGTCTTTCATATCCCAATGGCAATATTGTGGCTACCAATTTGTGCTTTCTCCCTCATCCCCACTCCCCTCCCATCTAGCAACCATGTTTTTGCTCTATATCTGTGAGACTATTTCTGTTTAGTTTGCTCATTTATTCAGTTCTTTAGATTCCACATATAAGTGAGATCATGTGGTATTTGTCTTTCTCTGCCTTACTTATTTTACTTAGCATAATGTTCTCTAGGTCCATCCATATTGTTGCAAATGGTAAGATTTCATTCTTCTTTATGGCCAAGTAATACTCCATTGTGTAAATGTACCACAGTTTCTTTTCCTTTTTTTTTTTTTTAAAGATTTTTATTGGGGAATTGGGGGGATGGGAACAGCGCTGGGGAATTGGGGGAAGGGGAACAGACAAGTTGCTGTCCTTTTGTTCTTCAGTCTAGTTGTGGAGGACGTTGCTTCATTGGCCCAAGTTGGCACCATCATTGTGCTCTTCCCGGGCAAGGCAGATCAGTCGCCGATTTCTGGACGGCTGCTCACTGCGGCTGCTGGCTACATATGGTAGCCCATGGCAACCCACTGCCACAGGGGCTGCAGCCTATGCCGTCGCTGGCAACTCACGGCAGCCCAGCTCCAGGTTGAGCTGTTCAGCATCTTAGCTGTGGAGGGCAGTGTCACTGGCCCTCATATGTGGGATCCGAACTGGGGCCCTCTGGCGTCCCAAGCCAGTTCTTAACCATCGCACCACTCGGCCGGCCCGTACCACAGTTCCTTAATTCAGTCATCTACTGATGGGCATTTCGGTTGTTTCCATGTTGTGGCTATTGTGAATAGCACTGCAATAAAACAGGGATGCATATATTTTTTCGAATTAGCCTTTTGGATTTCTTTGGATAGATACCCAGGAGTGGAATTGCTGGGTGATAAGGTAGTTCCATTTCCAGTTTTTGGAGATACCTCCGTACTGTTTTCCATAGTGGCTGCACCGATCTGCAATCCCACCAACAGTGCACTAGGGTTCCCTTTGCTCCACAACCTTAACAGCACTTGTTGTTTGTTGATTTATTGATGATAGCCATTCTGACTGGAGTGAAGTGGTATCTCATTGTGGTTTTTATTTGCATTTCTCTAATGATCAGTGAGGTTGAACATTTTTTCATATGTCTGTTGGCCATCCGTATGTCCTCTTTAGAGAAATGTCTCTTCATGTCCTCTGCCCATTTTTTAATTGGGTTGTGTTTTTTTGGTGTTGAGTTGAATGAGTTTTTTATAAATTTTGCTCATTGGCAAATATCTTCTCCCATTCAGTAGGATGCCTTTTTGTATTACTGATGGTTTTCTTTGCTATGAAAAAACTTTTGAGTTTGATGTAGTCCCATTTGTTTGTTTTTTTTCTTTTACTTTCCTTACCCAGGTTGATATATCAGTAAAAATATTACTAAGGGTAATGTCTGCAAATTTGCTTCCTATATTTTCTTCTAGGAGTTTTATGGTTTCAGATCTTTCTTGTAACTTCTTGTAGCTCATGGACAGTGACTGTCATTCAATTCTTCAGCAGGCTTCAAGAGGGCATCCATCATGATAAATCAATTTTAATTCTTTCCTGGGTGATCTTCTATTTGTACTGGAAGGAAGACATTTTTCCTGTCAAGAAAACATGGGGGGATAACGTGGTGGGTAAAACTGTACAAAACAGAGTGGTATGGAGTAGGGAGGATAGTAAGGCAGAGGTGACACTGCTTGGTTTAATCCTTGGGGGAAATGGTTGCTCTGCCAGATGGTTTTTTCTTTTAGGCAGCCTTTGGTAAGTTCAGAACTAGAGCCTAGTGGGAGATAGAAGGGTAGATGGAGGGGACTGTGGAGGAAGGGTTGAAGAAGTGTGTTGGATGAGGAATGATGAGGCTATAGTGAGAAAGGAGTGGTACCTCCAGGGGGCTTTCAGTGGGCCTGGAAGGCACAGGAGCACTGACTTCAGATTCCTTACTGAGGAAATTACTTAACCTTGCTTTCCCTCGGTTTTGCTCATTTTAAATGTGAATAATAATAATATCTGTCTAAAGGAGTTGTTCTTAGGATGAAATGAGTTAATAAATGTAAAGTGTTTAGCTGAGCATCCATGTTCTTTATCAGGGGAAAATGGTTAGTCTGTGGAGACAGTCCTGTATGTATCTGAGAATATAAGAGCTGTGCCTGTGGGAGGAGATATAATCTAGCCCTCTGAGATTCTAGAAAAGGCCAATTATTTGGAGCTTGTCATTACCTAGAGCAGTAGACTGCAAAGGAGAGTACATATTACTCTGAGGATATGAAAAACAATCCAGTGGAATTTGGAAAGAAAAAAAAATGTGCCAAGAAATGCAAGGGATTGTTGTCATTTGTTCTTTATTTCCATGGGCAGTGGATTCCATGGACTGGCTATCTACGGTACTTGGCATTAGTGCTCCCTAATAAAGACTTCTCTGCGTGGGATAGGATTGTTTTCCTGGCTCTCTAATGCGTAGGTTGGTCCCTATTATTAGTTCTGGCCAATGAGCTATGAATAGGAAATCTATTAGCTTGTGCCCCTGAGTGGCTATAGTGATCAGAACCCCCGGCTGACATGCAGTGCACGTGTAACTTGAGCAAGAAGGAAGTCTTTGTTTTAAGCTACTTATGTTTTAGAGTGGTTTGGGGTAGGTTCAGCATAAAACCTACTTTATTCTGACTGATACAGTATCAAATAGGGATCCATTTTTTTTCACTATATAGATAATTGGTTATCTAAAACCACTTATTGGATTTTATTAGTCTTTTCTCACTAATTTCTTATCTGTCATATATTACATTTTTACGTAGATAGCTCTCTTGATCATCTGATCTTTATCTAGCTCTACCTATACCAATATAATACTACCTTATTCATTATAATATAATTTATAAGTTTCTATAGCTGATGATATCCATACAAATTATGGATTGTTAT